GTATAATTATATATAATCCTCTTGTAAATATTTTATAGTTTTTAAATAAGCATAGACGTATAGTTTACGAATATCATGTATAATGTAGATATATATTACAGGACCTCCCTGAAAAACACTTCGGTGAGTGGAGCTTCGTGAATAAATATTATTATTATTATTATTATTATGCTCCTGAAACACTTCTGCACGTAGTAGCTGGTTGCCAATCGTATCTAGAACGATTCACGTGGAGACATGACTCCGTTCTAAACTTTCTCGCAACAAGCCTGCAGACCGTAAGCGGCTCACATCTTTACGCGGATCTCCCAGGGTACAAAAGTCCATCAATCATCACTGGTGACACCTACCATCCAGATTTGCTTCTTTCAACCTCAACCGGAACACTCTATATTGTTGAACTTACTGTTGGCTTCGAATCAAATCTTCAAAAAAACGTTGAGCGTAAAAAATCAAAATATAAAGAATTAATTAGGGAACAAAATGAACATTTCAACTCAGTAAAATTTGTAAATCTTTCGATTAGTTCTCTTGGTGTTTTCAGTAAAGAATGTTCTACTTTCATAGAAATGCTTAATGATTTTGGTTTTCAAAAGCAACATCAGAATTACTGTATTAGAAGAATGACGACGATTGCAATCCGAACAACGTATTATATATTTTGTTGTCGAAACAAGGAATGGATGAATCCGGAACTGTTAAGTGTTTAAACGTTGTACTGTCATTTTGTTATCTTAATAGTATAATTTTTGCATATATAATCGGTGATTTATCGATAGGCTTGTTATTGATCACAGTTCCTATGAAAAAATCGTCCATGTCGTCTACGATTTCATCAACTTGAAATGCTTGTTTATTCGCTGGTGCCGATTTAGATCGACAGACTCGAGCAAAGTGGTTTTCCCTTCGACAGTTATGACAAATCTTTCGAAAGCTGGACATGTCTTTAGTTAACTAGAATGTTCTCCCCGCAATTTCCACACTTCCTTGACACATAGTTTGACTGCTGTTGTCTTGGATTAAACCTAATTGTATTCTAATTTGTTAGTCTTGTTTAAGGTAAATGCTTTTCCTGATTTTCCATTTAAAAATGAAGATAAAAGCCATATTTTCCACGCGAAGGCGACTTTTACTTCAGTTGTGTAGCGCGGCGCCATGTTTGTTTTGGTTCGAAGTAATCTGTGACCGTTAACGTTACTTCTTTAAACTAACTTGCTTTAAATTAAACTGATTGGTTGATTTAATCATCACAATGTTTTTCCACCAATCAGATCAGTTTGTTACAGATTTTTGCACTGTGATTACAGAAAATTGCACTGCTGTTTGGGATTAACTGCACTGAAATCAACCAATCAAAGTCGAGTAATATCTCAATGTATATTATTATAAAGCAAACAATACATCAATATTTAAAACAAACTTATCTTCCTTAACGTCGGCGCCTTTCCTCCCTTCTTTTAGTCGATTTTTTCCCCTTTCTTTCTGAAAAAGTTTTTGAAATTTACAAAATCTTGCAAATATGAAATATGTTTCCAAGAAATCATCAAATCAAGAAATGTTTGCTATTTCGCTGTCGTCGTGCAGTCCTTATAATGCAAAATTTAAATTGAACCAATCACTGTTCGCTATTCATGACAGTCCGCTATATTATGAGATCAGTGAGGATGACCATGCACCGAACACCGAACCACGCACGGTAACCCACGCCCGCGATCATTGATGGACTTTAGACTTCGCTAGTGTTTTCCAATCCCCCCTGGGGTAAATAGCCGGGCGGAATTAGTACCCTCTTGGATAAATGGAATATCATTGATGTCTTGGCGCATTGGGTTGTGCTACACCGTTAAGTATGACATTGTCAAAAATTTAGCAATGATTTATCATATATATGCGGGAAAGATGTGTCTAAATGAATCATTTATATTTATAATTGTTGTTTAATATTCTAAATATATACAAAATATAGAAGATGTGAAGCCAGGGTTAAACATATTAAAAGATTAAATTAAACGTTCTCTGACTAAGCTACAGAGATGTAGCCGAAGGCTCGTGTTAATAAACTAGAAATACATACGTGTAGTAACCCCTCGCCAATATTTTCCAAACATTAAATTAACATGAAGTATTCAGAAATGGCCAACACTGAACGTAGGCTCGACTCAAGTGTTGCCATGACAACACGATATTCTTATGCTTCAGTCAATTCTAGCATTGCCCATCCCCCCCCCACGGACAACCCCCCGGGCATTTGCACTTTTTTTCATTAAGTTGTCAATTCCTGGTGGTCGGGCAGGAAAAGCGTGGCAATGCCCCGCCCCCGGGCGAAAAAAGATGACAAATGCCCGGTCCCAGGGCACACTGACTCATTTATAGAATGTATTTTAGACCTCAAAACTTCCATAACATTATTAGCTTCCTTGTATAAAAGCTACAGCAGTCATCCCAACTTTTGAACATGAAAAACGTGCTCGTCGGTTCAGTGCCATGTAGTTAATATGCAATAACGTAGCAAAATAAACAATTAAAGATTGTGTATGAGCTCTAGTGTTTTTATGCTAGATAGTTAAACACAACTTTAATTAGCTTCTCATGTGCGATTGGTGTGACGTTTTGTGAATGAAAATATCAACAAAATCCTCGTTTTTACCTTCGAATTCTTCGACGCCATTTTACCTATAATAGCACGTGTTCATCGCAGAAACGTTCGGTCGAGTCAAATGCCTGGCCGGTAAACAATTCCACGCCCACAGGACAACTTTGCAAGTACCAATGCCCGGCCCCCGGGAAAAAAAGAGTGCAAATGCCCGGGGGTTGCCCGGGGAGATGGGCAGTGCTAGAATTGACTGATGCTTCAAATTTTTAATTTTTTCATATGTTTTGTACAAACTGCAAAATAGTTGAAAGATTCGTACTTTTAACTATAACAACAATAAATTTCCGAAATATATACTGTAATGTGTTGATTTCTCGTATTCTCAGGTATATTATTTTACATTTTGTGAGCTTGATTTAATATAGAACTTAACTGGCTTGAAACGCTACGTAAAATGTTTTGAAATGTTCATTCAACTAAACTACATTGCCGATTAAACTGTTTCTACTTAACAAAAAATGTAATAAGTTTAATACAAATAAAACAAATTGTTAGGTAATTTCAGTTAAGTCTTCAAATCAATTTGTTCTCCCAAAACATTTTAAACAGTTCATGTTTTCAGGCAAAACGTAGACATTAAATATTCAAAGCAAACTTCCCGTATATTTCACGATTTCCCATGGTAATAAATTTCTCATTTCTTCAAATAAAATTGCTTCAAGCATGTTGTATGTGAAAAGATTTTCCAAATACTATATGTTTTTTAAAACTGAAATCTTGCTTATTCCACTCCTACAAGCAATCAGCCATATTTTTGAGATCAATGAGGATGACCACACACTGAAGATCGGTCACGCCCGCGATCATTGATGAACCTTAGACTTCGCTAATGCTTTCGTTTCCCCGTGTGTAAATAGCCGGGCGGAATTATTCCCCTCGCCCCGGGCTTACGCCAGAACGGCGCTCCGCGCCGTTGGCTCGGGGATAAATTTTAGAACTTTTTTTATTCCCAGCAAACTGGATATGTTGACAGTGTGAGAGATAATAATGAACAACGAGAGCGAGTCATACATTGTTTTCGAGTGTTTGGATATCCCGGTGAGACACGAGCTCGAGTTGTTTATAATTATGGCTTCTCAAATGAATCGAGACGTAACAGAATGTTTTCGTTTGCTGCTTTGAATAGTATACATAACGAAGCATATATCCTAATTAGGAATTCTATTGAGATACACATTGCATAACTGAAGTGGGTTTTTCACGATGTACTGTATAGATAATGATTTGATTGTTCGTATTAAGTCATGTAGACGACAAAGAGCGATTACGATTAAAGCAATTTTGGGTATGAATTTGTTTGCTGACTTGATTTTGCATACGTAATTAAGATATTTAATGAAAACACTAATGACTTTCATCAAATATCTTAATTACGCATGCAGCTAAATTCTTGTGGCCATGGTGCTGTGTCTGACGGTGTTTGACCGCGGTATATCCAAACAAAATATTGTGGCGGAATGCTTAGATACTATGGGTTTAATTACTCGTGAATTATTAATGAATTTGAGAATCGAAGTATACATAACGCAGCCCCAAAGTTTGTCAAACAAGATTTGATGCTGATTAAGAAAATGTGCAGAGATTTATATAACACGTGCGTGTGTGACATGGAACTAAAAGGTCAAAATACATGGAACAATCATGTTCATTGCATTTTGGACAGTGGTGTTGATGCAAAAAATTGGTTTTGACTCATGAATTATTGATTTCGTATCATACATTTGCATATATGTGAGATTGGTTATTTTCATTGAGAAAGGTGGTCATTATCAGTGGCAGAGTTAGCCCCAACAACACGTTATGCTGTGCACATTTTTAATGATTAGCTTTACAAACCTTTAGAAACGTATTGTCTTGAACCTATTTACTGTAGATGCAGGTTTATGAGCATGACCAGTTGACATGGCTAGCGTCGCTACTGGTCATTATCATTTAGTATACACTCAACCAAGCACCATTACAAATCCAAGATTTTGATTGGCTACTCAACCAAGGACCATTACTTTTGTTTTACAAATATATTTTGATAGTAAATCTGCTGTTACTTGCCAAAAATGTTACACGTAAACAGACGGAATTGCTGAGCACATTTTTTTGTGCACATTACAAGCAAAACCGATGTTTTATCAGCTGCTTGTATAGTTACTTAAGTGTTTTTTTTCAATGTGTTTACAGTACGTATTTTTATGTTTATGGCAAAATATTTTCAGGCTTTTCCCCCTTTAAGTGCTTGTATTTCTGCTTCGACATTTGCCGCCTAAAAACAACTTTCCTTATATAGCTTGCGAGTTTTCCATTTATTTTAAATGGTAAATTTTGTTCTAGGCATTTCATGTATTGTTTTTCACTGTTATTTTGTCATATATTTCACCGATTTCAACGACATTAGGATTGCTTTTCGTGCATTTAACACGTCTTTTTAACGTAAACTTCTGCTACATTTAGGGAAACGGAACCATTATATTAATTGTTTACATATTGAAAACTCCCTACGTTCTGGTCTTTTAAGTCTTGTTTCGTCCTCTCATAATTATCAAAACTTGGCTTATATTTTCCCTTAATATCATGACATGGAATACGGCCTGTTTTGAAATATTTTCAACGCTCACACACTGCATATATTCTTAAAAAACCTTTCTCGGGGATGTTTGCAGAAAGTATACAAAAAAGCCGCAGGCGAAGCCTGCGAAGGTTGAACGAAATCATTCAAACGCTCATGCATGGTTTTAAATTTTATCTTTCAAATTTTGCTTGGAGTTTGTATTTTGAGTTGGAGTGCATATAGACAGCTCGGCGTCGTTGTCTATGGCAAATAGTCAACTCAGGCTACCCTTTGTCACTCATTGACAACTCGACCTCGTTGTCTTATTGTTAAATAGCACCCGAGCCCAATTGTGATTTTTCGCCATGTCGCTGATCGTACATTCTGTGCAAATAAAATCTCAAGAGAAAATTAATACATACATCCGCTGGTGCTGGTGGACCAGGTGGACCAGCGCTTCCACGGGGTCCTTTATATCCCTTTGGACCTTTGTCTCCTGGACCTCCCTGTAATGCAATATAAAAATAAATATAAAATTCATAGCTACATAAAAATGGACTCTTGCATGGGATTACCTGCAATGACTTGCATTGTAAATTGTTCATAAAAATTGTCCTGAGGAACATCGCATTTAGTACGGTAGTTGAACGTGTTTATCAATGTTTTCTGTAATGAATCAGTCAGACTGTTGTAACTGACTGGAAAATTATCAAAATAATAAGGTCGGTATATAGTTTACGAGGAATCAAGTACTGTACTGAAGCAGTTTCACAGTCTTAAATTTTAAAGGACATTGGCAGTAGAATTTAATTTGTTTCGTGTGAAAGAGCTTTAAGGATAATTAACAAACACTTTTTACAGCTTTTTCAAATCTTGATTGATTCTTGAGATATTTTAACTGAAAACTTCGTTTTTGTTTTGTTTTAAATACTATATTGGATAGTGACCAAACGGTAGGAGTGCGAACGGGACTCGAGGTCCCATGCGAGGCACTCCTATTAAAGATACAACAACATGATACAACAACAACATGATACGACAAAGATACAACAACAATACATGTAGAATAAAATATACATAACTACAGTCATAAATAAACATATGCCACCAACTCGAAAATCAAAGCTAAGATTTATGATGCTTAAAAATTTAGTGATAGCAATAATACTTTGAAATGACAGCATGAGCTCCACCCCCGAATTCACCACATGAGCAAATTCCCATGCAAACACGCCCGAACTCGTCACGATGACAAATCCGCGGCACTTTTCGGGTTTGTCATAATAATAAATTCGCGGCACCTAACACTAACCCCAACCACTAATTCTATAACTTTTTAAACTTTTTTAACTTTTTGAAAATATTGAAACTTTTTTTGGGTTTTTTAAATCTTTTTTAAAATCTATTTTGTTGAAAATCTCCCTTTTAGTGCCATTACATTTATAACAAGACGTCTCGTCTAATGCTTGTAGTTTTATGATTATTAACTCTATAGATAAATTCAAAATGCGCCACGAACCCATCACAATGACAAACCCGGACGCAGCCAAGAATCCACTCATATAGCAAATTCAAAGGTGGAGCCCATGTTGGAAATGATGTACGGAACAATTAAATATAGAATTTAAGTAATCAAGCAATAGCATATGTTTATCTCACACGTTAAACTCTATGACATGAGCAAGTTCGATGTAATGACCATGTACAGGACATGTCTACGTCGTAACAAGAGATTAATAAATGTAAATATGTTCTTGATAAAAACAATCTGAACATAATTAGGCTACTGATCAAGTCTGAAGGTTTAGCAGTTCTACACATACGGTTCCAAAGGGGAACGATACGATTAAAGTACGATGACTGGAATGTACTTGTTTTGCACAAAGGTACTTTGAGCATTAGGCTTGGATTTACACAATTACGGGTACGGCTGTGACTTACGAATGACACGTAGTCACAAACATTCAAATCATAATATCCGTACATAGCTTTAAAAAGGAATGTTAAGTCCTTTATCTCTCTTTCTTAAGATAGCGGCAGAAGATTAAGGGCCAACAAACGGTCTTTGTATGAGATCTCTCCTATCTTCATTTGAAGTATCCATCGTGTGGCACGCCTTTGAATCCTCTCTAGGTAGGTTTTGTTGGTGGACTGAGACGGTCACTTCTGTGGCATAACCCAGTTGGGATTTCACTAAGGATAAGTATAATGTCCTTCGAGCAACACGATCTGTTAACAAGGGGCACGTTCTCCGTAATAAACCCAGCATTTTATTTGCCTTGGATACAATTTGGGTGATGTGCTGATTCCAAGATAACTTTCTTGTCACAGTAATTCCAAGGTCAACATCACTATCCACACGCACCAGTTCAGTTGAACCAAGGTGGTACTTTGTTTCAGTCTGGCTTTTTCGGCGGGATATTGTTAGAACTTTACACTTAGATGCGATGAAGTCAATATTGGATTGCTTGCTCCAATCGTCAGCGTGCGACAATGATTCCTGTAGAAGGTCACACTCCTGGCGTGATCTTATTGCTTTGTACAACTTTGTATCGTCGGCATACAGACCGGTTGATGTTGATGGAGGAATGATGTCAGGGAGGACATTGATAAAAAGAAGGAACAGCATAGGACCTAAGATTAGTCCCTGAGGGACACCGGAGGTAAATTGAGACCATTCAGAAGTTGCACCATGAACAACGACATGCTGAGTACGACCACGCAAAAAATCAGTAAACCAATTGTACATGTTGCTGTGGACTAGTTGTCATCTTCGATTATCCAGGATATGCATGTTATCTCACCAATGTGTCACACAAATTTTTATCTTGACAGCCAGTAATCTCTGCCTAAAACTCGTTTCAATCTTGTACACAGGCTCTTTCCACTACGCATCTCGCTGGAGGAAAGACCCTGGCCCAGGCTTGTCACGTGTCTCCCAGATTTTGGGAGATAACAATTGGGACTTATGGGGGTAGGGAAGACAAATGTGGTGTTCGAGTTCAAAACAATACAAGGGGTGTGAATAAAGCAACACAAAGGACTACCATGAAACGAAGTTTTTATTGGCATGCATTTTTCATAATATACGTTATAACGGTTATTGTAAGGGACGAAGTAGTTAATACGGCCTGGCTGGACGTTAAACACAAATGAAATTAAACACTCTTAAACGTTAATAAAATAATAGACGAGAGATTCTCGAAGTTCGTTCAACAACACGTACAGGCAGAATCTTCAGAAAATTGCAGTTGTGTGTTGTATTCGCCGGAACATTTGTTTAAGAAGAATAATGAATAATAAATAATAATTGGATATTAATTGATTATAAAGTAACATAAAATAATATAAAATAACATATAATAACATATGAACATTAATATACCGGGGATTTAGCTCGATATTCTCTCCAATAAATCCTATATTTTGGGTATTTATAGGAGCGTATTTATTTGCAATGGACTGTTTCCCCAGTGAAATATGATAAATGTTTACATAAAATTGTATACTGTGCTCTTGCTTTAGCTGGGTGAAAGCTTTGTACTCTGTTTTAGAATTTCTTTTAAAACTTTTAGAATGTTACGACAAATAAAGCACACAAGTAAGGCCCAATATATTTCTACAGTTTGTACCATATATTTCTACCAGTTTGTACACCTGGTCTGGATGTTTGTTTGTTTGTATGAGGAGTCATTGCATATATTCTTGTCGTGAAAAAGTGTGGTCAGCTGTTCTGTGGCCTGACTGGAATCCGATTTGGGAGGGGTTAATTATGTTTCTATCATTGCTAAATTGTCATGTCTTTGCAGCACTCAAAACTTCCGCCTAAGAAATAGGTTCATCAAGAAAATCATTTGGTGTTTTTTCTTCAAGTTTTGTTAATTTTCGTAAAATGTTATACTGTTCTGTTTCTAACGTATGTTTAGCATGCAAGGATTGGAAATGAGCCAGCCAGCTGTTAGCCGAGACATCTGGTTCGCTCATAGAAGGGTCCCCAAAGTCATCACTCATGTTTTTAGAGTTGCCAGAAGGAATTTGGGTCATTTTCAGAAACTTTCCAGTTCTTCTAGTTTTTTTCATGGAAAAGTTTTTTTGTGTTTTAGAGTGTTTCTATAAATCGTAGGTGTGACGTAGCCTGCGTAGCAGGCGGTAGAAGCTAGAAATACCGCCTGCCCAAAAACTACACATTCTGAGTTCCGCCCAACGAACGCATGGTCCCGCCCATCTTAACGTATTTATTTTAATTATTTGTCAAACTCAATTTGCACCAGTGCAAATATACGGCTTTGACTTTTCATATCTTCGGTTCATTCAATGCCATGGAGACAAAAATACCACGTTCGATTCAGTGTAAAAATATGTCCTCATTCATAGCGATAGTTTTAGTCGATGTCAACATTATAGCGATTTATCAGCTTTGAAAGTCACGCGAGTTCGTGTATTATCAAATTACGCAATTGTCTGAACAAAAATATAGACTAGCCATACCTTTCGCCGAACATATCTTCGGCCCCTTCGGCCCGTTGTTCCAATCGCTATCAAAAGCACTACTTAGAGTGTCATTTACGAGCCTGTATCTTCAAATCTGCACTTTTATCACGGTATCACATCTATCAAGCAACAAATGTTGGATTGATATTCGTTGTTCATTCTTCAAGACGAAGCGATTTCCGATTCCAGATAAAGATTAAAGAATTCAACGCTTAATTCTCAATTAATACATTCGTTATATTTTGGTTAGTGTATGCCATCACTCGATATATCGGTATCAATTACGAAAATAACAATAGTTTGTATTATAAATACGGCAACAGTAACTTCTAAAATTAGCACTAATTATTCTAATTCTTTACTCCTGTTGATCAAAAATTCAAAATCAACATTCTGACCAATCAGAATGCTACGGCACCCAGCTGCCGCGGAGAACTCAGAATGTGTAGTTTTTGGGCAGGCGGTATTTCTAGCTTCCCATTCTCTCGTGCCCGCGAATACCGCCTGCTACGCAGGCTAGTGTGACATAGTATCTGTCCCTTATTTCGGTGAAAAGAGGATCACGGTGTTTTTGGTCTGCGAGTTTTCTCACTGAATGTCTTTCTAGTCGACATTCTTTGTCGAACCATTTTTTATTACAGACATTGGAAGCTTTATTTCTGTATTTCTTATTTTGATTTTCATGGATTTTTGGCAGCATACTTAATTAATTCTTCTACTTTCGAGGCAAACATGTTGACACCTTCCTTTGAAGGAGATGGATTGGAATTAATCGAATATTGAAGATTTTGTTGAGTTTGAAATGATTTAAGATTTTCTGTAAACTTAGTCATTGTGTCATTGTCCCACATGAAATGTTGTGTCCGTTTTTATATCTGTTAGGGAATTTTTTGTGATGTTTGCATTGGATTGTTTGGCATGTCTGGGCTTTCATTGCCAAGGGCCGAGAATTTGTTCTAAGTTCGCGATGGTGGATATGAGGTGGGTCTCTAGGGGTGGATTTGGTTGGGTTGGTTTTGATTCCATGGTTGATGTGGGTTCAGTGGTACTTTCAGCTGGAACCAATTGGTGGGAGGATTCTTCGGTAGATGGTGGAATTAAGGTTTTTGTTTAAGGTCTTTACATAGGGTAATGGCATTGCTCACTTTCTTTTCTAATTGCTTTTGTTTATGTGAGATGTTAGTCAGGTCAGCATTCTCTTTTTGAAGAAGCTCATTTAGTGTCTCAAGACTGGTAATCTTTTTCTTTAAAATTTCGAATTCATCAACATTTTTCTTCTTACCTTTCTTTATTTCTGCGTATGATTTTAGAATATCTTGTTTGAAGGAAACGAAATTCGCTTCGAGACTCGCCACATATTGGTTTTAATTATTACAGATTGTTCACATGCGGGGTTCGAGTTTCCAGCAGGATTTGGAGCCGCTTGTGGGGACATCTCATTGACTTCATCCGGTCTTGTTTCTTTTTTTGGAGTCTGTGTAATATTGCCGATCACGGTTTGAAGGTTTTTTGATGCTGTATTGGGAGATATTACATCGGGGTGTAGGTCTACCAGCTTCTAGATTGTAAAGAGTTCGTTATTGCTCCACGCACGCATCGAACGTCCTTGTATCTGGATTCTACCAGTACTACAGTAAATAATAATAGTAACAAAATTTTCATCCGTTTTTTTTGCCTTCGAGGGACTGAGTTAGTGTGATTTTTTCGCATTTCGATGAGTCGTTTTGGCGAGTTGTTCTTCGCAAGTTGATTTAAATAATTGCCGTTCGCCATCTTGTTTGTTTATTTTGCCGCAGTAGCCACAGGGAGCCCAAGCGTTGATCTGTGTTAGTGTTGTATGTTTTTCAGTTTATTTATTTTAGTGTCTTTATATTGCCTTTTAATTAGTATAGGTAATCACACGGGAAGGAGTGCAATTAATGATTAACACTACGGGCACATTTTTCAAATATCACGAGTAGTGTTAATCATTAATTGCACGACTTGCCCGTGTGATTATTTATTTATAATATGCATGACAAAATCGCTTTCTTTACATATCAACTGCATTTGGTCAAGAGTTTTTAATTCTTTTGTAAGCAATTTGGTATAAACAAACTTGGGAAATGATTATAAACTCATAAAGGCACATAACTTAAACTAGAACACAAGATTCAAACTCAAACAACATATTTTAGACTAAGAAAATCTTTATAAATTGTATTTCAAACTTACATAGTCACGTTTCGCTGCATCCCGCCAAGATTATAGTCCTATACTCCAGGTATAGTTTCCAGGTATTTTCCACAGGCTCTTTTTGCCATACAATGTTTCTTAAACTCATTCTTGTGCCAACATTCAGTTAAATTCGTCCACATTTGTTAGAAATACTTATCTAAATTTCGCCGCAATATTGGATTTTGTTGTTTTGATTTCCTGCTCGCTCCCCGCCATCACGAAAATCATTAATTGCACTCCTGGAGAGTGCAATTAATGAAATAATTGCACTCCTCTTGACTTGACTAATCGGATTGCAGTAATTTTGTCATGTATATAATAAATTGAATTATAACACTAAATTACACTACTATGTCATATAATAAGAATATTCCTATAGTCGAACATATAATAACAACATATAAGTTGATTTGTATTTGTATGTTTTTAATTTCAGTTGATTTATTTAAGATCTATTATTAGCTTATATAAAAACACCGCCTTTCGAACCTGACAGCCCGTTCGCAGGATACGCGCGGGATTTGAAATAGGGGGCGGCAACAATATAAATACGTGACAAGTGATGAAACTCTTAAAGTTTGTCGTGTTATGAATGCCCCGACTTGAGTGGACCGATACTTATGCAATGAGTGTCGTGTCGAATAAAGCCGTCAACATTTAGGAATCAATGATATAAACAAGGAAGCAAACTCGAATACAACTCAAGGTGAGAAGCCAATTTGTGTCGACCGTAACGGTTTCAATGTTTAAAATTAAAAATTAAATACATTAGGGTCCAGTCAAGTCGGGGCGTTAATGCTACGAAGCGTCGCTATTAAAAACTATAGCAATTTATAAGACTCTAGGGCAAGGCCTTTATAGATTGTGCTCGGCAACTTATGAGCAACTTTTGGAGTTTTGAGCAGCTTTTTGCCTTTCGAGCAACCTCGAGCAACTTTTGACTGTTTAAGCACCAAATGAGCAACTTTCAACCTTTTTAATTAAGCACAGAATGAACATTTGGGGAAATAAAAGATTAAATCAAATATTTAATTTAATGAATTAACAAATTTTGACAATAAAGAATGACGTAGGCCGTAGGGATCATTGTTAATGTGCGCCCATGAATGCTAATTGGACAATGGACTGCAGTAATTATTTAAAGATGCCTCCGAACAACAATTGAAATTTACAGCGGTTATTCGATGAGATGTAAATAATGAACGAAAAAGGATAAAATTGCATATTTTCATCCATGGCAGAGCACCTGCATTCAAGCGAATCTAACTCCTCTGATTCTGACATTGAAGAAACTGATGTTATTGATCCAATATTGGTAGCCACGAATGCTGGAGCAAGCCTAACTGTTCCACAAAGCGCTTCAATTTCTCGTAAGCGAAAAATACATGTCAACCAAGGCAAATACAAAGGAAGAGGAAGCAGTTTGTCAGCAGTCAAGAGTGTAAGTACTTGGGACAGGTTGATGTGATTGAATGGAACTCTCCGTTGTAATGCCTGTAGTGAAATGCTTTCCTTGAAGAAAAGTTCACTTGATCATGACAGACACTATATACAAATACTATTATAGTTCTAAGTAAACTTATGTTATTTTGTGTTGTTTATCAATAATAACGTTGCGACAAAGCTAGCAACTTTTTGAATTTTGGATGTTATTTTGTGTTGTTTATCAATAATAACGTTGCGACAAAGCTAGCAACTTTTTGAATTTTGGGAGCAACTTTTTGAATTTGGGGAGCAACTTTTTTCAATTTTGGAAACTTTTGAGCAACTTTTCCCCATTTTTGTGAGCAACTTTTGCTCAAATTACAATTTTGGAAACTTTTGAGCAACTTTTCCCCATTTTTGTGAGCAACTTTTGCTCAAATTAGTAGCACAATCTATAAAGGCCTATTTAAATAGGGCTTTTATATCGCAAAAGTTTTCAATGGCTATGTACTTTAGCCTTAGACATATCATGCGGCCGAATTTCAAGCTAAAATTCGTTTTAACAAGCACATACGGCTTCAAAATAAAACATCGCTGTGTTGTAATTTCATCCCTGGCACATTTCTTATTTCAGTGCGAAATAACGCGTGTATCCTGCGAACTGGTAAGCTAGTAACATAACCTAGTAAGAGATCTTACATAAGCTAGTAAGAGATCTTAAGTGTATCCTGCGAACGGGCTGTCAGGTTCGAAAGGCGGTGCTTTTATATAAGCTAATAATAGATCTTAAATAAACTGAAAAACATACAAATACAAATCAACTTATATGTTGTTATTATATGTTCGACTATAGGAGTATTATTATTATATGACATATTAGTGTAATTTAGTGTTATAATTCAATTAAAAGGCAATATAAAGACACTAAAATAAATAAACTGAAAAACATACAACACTAACACAGAATGATCAACGCTTGGGCTCCCTGTGCAGTAGCGATAACAAAATCTTTTTTATCCAGTGAATGATCCTATCTTCGCTGGTTAGAAAAGTCACGCAATTAGGAGATGGTTTATATATGGTGTAATCGATATCTTCGCAGGAAACAGTTCGCGCGTGCTTTTGTGTTTTTAAATTCTTCATATTTGTAGCGTACGCGTGTGAAAGTCAGATCAGCATTACACGTGACGACGAACAAAGCCACATTTGCTTTTTTCATCGGTTTATACTTTTGATTTCCCTAAAATTCTTGAATATTTCTCTTCTGTATATGTTTAACTTCAAAATTTATTTGGGTCAGCCAACCTCAACCAAGGATTCGATTTAAAAAAACGTTTTCATCCGCAGTTCATTATCATCTGCATACCATCGGGTTGCAAGTCATTGGTTGCAAATCATTTTCTAGTTTTGCAGACTCATTAAATTAACCTAAATATAAGTAAATATGCACGCGTATCCTTCAAATAGAACAACATCAAAAACAACCAAATTATATAATGAATTTATACTGTACACATGTGTGCTTTTGCATATATGCTGTTTTTCTAATCCCGCGATAATAACGTACTGTAACAAGTCCTAATAGTATATAATAATAACAGTATATACATAGGTCTACAGGGAGGGGCAGGGGGTAGCTCCCCCACCCCAGATTGTTGTGCAGACTAGGCCAGTCCGGCAATATTCACTTCAAAGTTAGGCAATATTATTATAAAAATAAATAGGAAAAATTATCTCAATATTGGGGGAATAATGTAAAAGTTTTAATACAAATTATAATACATTCCGAAATTTTTTTCGTCGTCACCCCACACTCCCTCTCCTTCCCCCCTCCCCACAGTTTGCACGAAAAAAATTTTGACAAGTCGGGCACAGTGGATACAAATTTCCTTCCTCCCCACAAATTTTTTCCTTTCCGTACGCTTCTGAGTATATAACTGAATAAATATTTTTGTATATACATTTGTTTTGTAAAATTAGGATTCTTTTACAAGGAAGAACATTTTAGTTTCAGAACATCAACTTAACTAGGGGTCTTAAACTACTCACTATGTACATATATATTTAGTATTATTTTCTTAATTAATAAATGGGCGAAATTTAAAGAAAAGATGGTTAAATTACAAATATTTTGGTTCGTTCCTATCCAATTCATGTTTTGGTGACTGGGAGACAATTTGCCGACTGAATGACGAGTGTTTCACCCTCTACACCCCCCTCCCCTCCTTAAAGTACACACCAATTTTATATTATACGCACAGGTGAACAATATTTTCAATAATGGATCATTTAAAGCAAACGAACTAGGTATTAAAATGATGACATCCCAAACACGGACAGAACGCAGCATCACTACTTGAACGTATCGTTCAGTGGTCGTATATACTATAAATTATACATTTATTAGAATACTGTTCTAATTTAATATTTTATCAACCACCATGACTGAGAAAAATTCTTATCTGTGTCAAAGTCTTTTTCAGGTAAAAATCAGATACCTGGTTTTTTCTGTCGTCTCTTGTATTTATAACAACAAAAATATTTCGAAGAATAAAGAAGAAACAACAATAGTATATTGCTTGAATTTATACTTCCACACCTTGTCGGGTGCTATATTGAATTTTGTGGCCGTGTCATAAAAAGACTGGTGACTAGGCGCTCTGACGGATATGAAATAACCCTAACCGAACAACAGGTGGGCAATTTGTCTGAGCATGCGCAAAGAATACCAATATGGCGACATATATTTTGGAATGTTTCGTGGATTTATCTGGTTTTAAAGCTGATAAAACAACATTTTAATGAACGAAAACTTTGTAATATTTAGTGGAAAACATTAAGCTGTACAGTCCAAAGATTGTAAATTAAAATGAAGTACTTTTGCTTTATTTTATTGCTTTTTATGCTTTGAAAACAGGCAAGCTCATATTTTTGAAAAAATCTTATCGAATATTTCACCCATCATTTGTTTAATTCGGATAGATATAGATAGAACACTTGGCTATATAAGTTATAAAAGTATTGTTAGCTATCTGAAAGTTTTCAGTGTTCCTGGTACACATTTTAACAAAGAATGAAAGGTAATTTTAAAAATTAAATATGCATACCAAAAACAATAGTTTTTCTTAGAACAACACATAATAAGTTTTTATTTTCTATTTTTACAACAAGAAGTTTGGAAACAGGATCTAGTCCTCCAGCTTGATGTCATATCCCATTTATTTGGATATTTGAAGAAAGGAATGTGAACTAATCATTGAATCTTGAGCAAAATTTGATACCAACATTCATGTGAACGGATACTATCACCTAAAAATAAAAGAAAACAGAACTTAAATTTATCATCTAATGCCATGAAAAAATCTTAGATACTACGGGCGTATAGTGAGCACAACACTTTAACAAACTCACTAAAATAAGTTAAGTTATGCTATGATAAGAGGACAGCAACATATGACAACATCATATGTCGCTATCTTCAGTGTCCAAAAAAGTGTCGCGCGCATTTTTCGTGGTCGCCTAACTGGTATTGCTACAAACCCAGGTGAAAAAGCAATTAGAAAAACCTGGTTTTGGATGATGAGCATAGTCAAATTCTTGACTTATTCAATTTTCTAAGTTTTTTCCAGCCAAACAGATTTAACATTGAAATTAGCCCCATTCGGGGCCACATAGAATTCAAAATATTGTGTACGTACCAGATTTTTTTTCAATTTTCTGTGATTTACATAACACTAGTTATAATTTAAGGGTCAACCAGTAATGTTCAAGACATATTTTCCTTCCAAAACACCTTTTCAAAATACTAACCCAAACATGTCAAAAATAGTGTACATTTACATGGGCAATTTCAATCCTTTGGCACAGTTTCCCATGAATGATTTTAATTCTAATAAAAGGACAATAGATAAAACTTTGATTTAAAGCTAGTTTCAAATGATGAGCATACCCTAATTTTTAAGCTATACCTGCCTCAAAGAAGTTGGGTCAATACAACATAAAAATTAAAATATGGGTATACTGACAGTTCTGTCACACTTGTAATTTGACATAAGCAGACCATCTGAAACATTTTAATTGAAACATAATTCACAAAATTCAAATTTTCACTTACTTCTTAAAATTTGTTTTAATCCAACTAGCTATGTAGGCACGAGCAAAATCTAGTGTTGATGTAAATATCCATTTAGTTCATGTTTCCCCGGTGAAAATATAGTCTATTCCAAAGCTGGATTTCGGCGTACATTAGCTTTCAAAAAACGTTGGCCTTCATCAGTAAGATTATCAACTGTTTCGCAAACATATTTGACAATAAACAGCTAAAATATTCTCTAAAGGTCTATATTTTTGCTCTTCGAAACGAAAATGGCAACTGGAGAAGAAATAGGCAGCTATTTTTGGTCAGCGTCGACAAATTGCCCACCTGTTTAACCGAACTGGTTTTTGCTTGCTATTTCAAATTTCGAATTGAATAGAAACATCTTAAACAAGTTTTGATCACTTAAATGTCATTTGGAGGTAATTTAATACGGCTGATCCTATTCTTGATGTCATCGAAACCACAGTTAATGAGGTTAAGAATTAATCTATAATGGCGGACAAGCTCATTCCTTTCAGTCCATATATCTCTTGACAGTTTTAATTACAAGCATTTCGCCACCTGGAAGGCAACTAGATTTTTGAAATTTTTTGTGTACATACGTATGGAAACAAACACTTACAGGCAGTCCTGGGCGTCCTGGCGGACCTGGAGGTCCATGACGTCCATGTGGACCCTAAATAAAAAGAAGACAAAAGTGAATATATATATTTATACGTATAACTACAGACGGTACCGTTTCGGCCTTTTGGGCCTCATCAGTGTAGTGCTGATGAGCAGGACGAAAGTAACTAGTATAAATAGTTACCTTTGATGTCTCACGAATGTGGGACATCAAACCATTGTATATATATATATATATATATATATATATATATATATATATATATATATATATATATATATATATATATATATATATATATATATATTTAGGCCCTAAATTCAAAAGGGTGTTTCAAAACAATGATACAAGATTGCTTAAATGAGAATATATACTCTAGCAGGGTTAGTACCAGATGTAAAACGATTATAATGTCTTAGGGGCGCCCTGGGAAACGTTTTTTCCCGAGGTACACGCAATCTCTTGGCAGCCCTGTGCATCATGTGTGGTCTCGTATACACACATAAGTATCTCACATATTTTCAACAAGATATGCTTCTAACAAGCTTGTGACAAGCTTGTGAACAAGTTGTAACAGTGTTGTCATTTTACCAAGTTACTACAAGATTAATCTCTGACAACTGGTTACCAAGTTGTTGAATTGCAGGAGGATAGCAAGCTGTTGGAACAACTTGTAACAACCTGGTCTTCTATTTTGTGGCTTTAACTTTGCTGCAATTCCAAACTATCATATCCTCACAGACTATGACTAAACCCAACCGCGTGCAGCAGTGAGTACAGTGGTAAGCCGCAGTTATCAGAATGAGAAAATAATGCTGAGTCTATTATATTTCGGAGACAAAATTGTCAAAATATCACTTTTGGAGCTGATTCTTTTCAGAGTGGAATGACTCAATTGAGCATTTAGCTCACAACTAAAACACGTACAAATTAGGTTTGTAGTTTAATGCATGTGGAAATGAAAGCACCAGGTTGGAGTCCAAACGAACCTGAAATATCTCATTCTTGAAGTGGAAGGTAAAATGACTGAAAATAGAGCGGAATGATGAAAATAATTGAAATTAAAATATTGTTTATTTACAAGAAAGAAGCCCATTCAAAGGAGTAAGCCGCTCAGGGGACCTTCTACAATTGGCAGCAAGGTTACTTACGTCATCACCTCGGTCACCATCTTCAGGAGGCCCACCATGGCCAACTACAAAACAACAGAAGAAATGTAAATCACCATCTTTACATATCCCCCTCCCCCTAACCCCACCCCCGAAAAAAAAATCTATAGGGTTTTATTACAATATTTTTTCCTGACATAAAAGATCGCATTTGCGTTAGACATTTTTTTAAATTTCTGGGAGCAATGAACCAGGCGGGATTCGTAATAGTATGAAGCCTTTGTTAACAAAAACACCTAAACGTTGCGTCCTTAAAAGTAAACCTTATTAAATTTTTTAAAACGTTTTGAATAAATAAATGTGTTTTAAATCAAAATTCTTGTGCATTTTATGCCCGCAAAGACAAAAAGACAAAATTTCGATATATCTCGCACATAACCTCTAATACCTCTCTTTTCGTATTCTTTCTGTCTCAAGTTCGCTGGGTGAAATAAAAATTGTATCCATATGGGGTGGGCGGGTTAATGACTTTTTTAATGACTTTGATGCTAATTGGTCGCGTTATCTTATTGTGTTTGGTCGCGTTACCTGTCACGTTTGGCCCAGGCTTACCCTAGTGTCGCCTGATCTTGTTCTGTCGCTGTTAAAGACTTTCAAAGAATATTAAGTCAACTTGATGTATAATTAGTCATATTAGCCTCTGCGGCACCCTCGGGGGTGACAAATCAAGGGTTACCACCATTGCTATGGTGGTAGCCTTACTTCCGATACGAAATGAGATTTGCATACTAATTACTTCCGTCCCTATATTTAGCATGTTAATTACTTCCGTTCCTGGCGGGGGTCTTTACTACTCACATTGCTCAGATTGTGTGGCGAACATAGAAATGCAAAGAACATAAATATATCATATATTTTTAAAACTCTCCGATGACATTTCATAGTTTTTTTCTTGTCTAGTTTTGTCAAGTCCTGGATTGAGATCAGATTTTTCCAGATCAGGATTAATATGAAAATGTCGGTCGCTGAAGATTTTATCATAAGCAGCACAGCCATTATGTGTATTCACTTTAAAAATGCATTAAACGCTTAAAAATGCATTGTTTAATGGCGTAAATGACGTAACATCTGAATCTGCATATATAATGAGCTACATGATAAATCGCTTGGTAGCAAACATCTGAATCTGCATATATAATGAGCTAGACGGACGAACGTCAGACGAACTTTATACGCATTTTTATTGACCCCTCATCCTAACCATTAATAATACACACGGTGTCGTTTCCATAGCGTTTCAGGGCCGTAGGAAGCTTTTTTTGATTGGGGGGGGGGGCTGAAAGCGAGGGCCGAAGGTCCGAGGAAATTTTTAAATCTAGAGTCTCTGAAATGCCATTTCCTGGACTTTGGGGAAGATTTGACAAAATTCTGATGGTCAGAAAACAGCGTTTTAGTATGTCGAAATTGACAATTTGGTAGTACTGAATGGGGGAACACGTATTTAATTATAACTATATATTGGATAACTAGGATAAGTTGCAGGAAACTGTGGGTACTATCTTCATTCTTTGCAGTTTGTCATGGATAATGTAGCCGCTTAAAATTAATAAAGCTTAAAATTGATAAAGGTCATGATGAAATGCATTCAGACCTTGAAATCATGCATTGATTTTGAAATCATGCTACGGTCAGGACTGCATTTTCTTTCATTCATGTTTTCACACAAAAACGGATAAAAACGAAGTCAATTGACGAACGTTATGGAAATGTTTTCCTATGGACTGTGTGATCAGAGCATCAAATGAATTTTGCTTCATTGAGATGATGAGATAGTTGATAGTTTCTAGACCTTTTTACCATTCTTCATCCAAATATTTCCAAATTCTATAAAATTATATTGGTGACTTTTTCACTGATTATTTTTATGACCTCCTCCATTTATACCAAAACTATAAAAAACCCCACCTCTTTGAAGCATGTCAAAATTGGCTGACCCCCTCCCCCCAAATTCCTCCGCCCTCACCCCTTTGAAGCATGTCAAAATTGGCTGACCCCCTCCCCCCAAATTCCTCCGCCCCCCCCCAGCTAAAAAATGAATGCTCCCTAAATAAAAGTTCTATCTATCTATTTAGTTTACCATACTCGAATAACCACTGAATACATATGCTATCAAAAGAACGGAAGTTATCAGAATACAAGCCATCGACTACTTGTGGTACTCGGCACGATAAGCTGCAAATTACCTAGCCTGCATGGCAGGCGGTTCCTAAAATTGGGCAAGCCTGGGAAATACCGCCTGCTGGGTTTGGCAGTGTAATCGAATTCCCCGTCCACCAGTGGACGGGAATTGATGATTGGCTGCGAGTCTGAGCCGCTGTCACTCAAAAGTGAATACACTTTAATATGTAAACATACGTTTGACACTTTAATGATGCATGCGTTCGCTTTAATTAATAGGTGTTGTAAAACTGAATTAACGCTTCTCGAAAGTCGAAACGCGAACTGATTGTCAAACGCGAGCAAGAGATAGCAGTTAAAGATTTACTCCTTGGAAAGAATGTTTTGGCCATTCTATGGGAAAAGCTTGATTTTTACATTGTTCTTGTTGGCGCGAGAAAATATAACGAGAATAGATACAGACGGCCGTATAGTCTTTCTTGCAACGGGTTTTATAACAGGACTATTACGCCTATGCCTATTAGCCGCTTCACTTTCTGAACTTTTTAAGGCTTTCATTACCACACGGCTTCGTTAGGGAGACGAGACAGTTCATATCGGCAACTGAGGTTTTTAATATACAACTGTCTATTTGTTCGAACGTACACAGGCAACGCGTTTATGTCTCGTTTGATTATGGCAATCAGTTCGCTTGCATTTCGGATATTTCGCTCACACGGTTTACAAACTTGGTCGGATAGTTCCGAGGTAGAATTAACTTCTATTCCTAAATGAACTGAACCGGCAATTCGGCTTATTTCGGCCAAGGTTTTACCACTGTCGTAACGTTTCTTTTGCTTGCCTTAGGGAGCATTCATTTTTTAGCTGGGGGGATGGGCCGGAGGAATTTGGGGGTGGGTCAACCAATTTTGACATGCTTCAAAGGGGTGGGTCTTTTTATAGTTTTGGTATAAATGGAGGGGGTCATAAAAATAATCAGTGAAAAAGTCACCAATATAATTTTATAGAATTTGGAAATATTTGGATGAAGAATGGTAAAAAGGTCTAGAAACTATCAACTATCTCGTCATCTTTAACAATGAAGCAAAATTCATTTGACGCTCTGTCCACACAGTCCATAGGAAAACATTTCCATGACGTTCGTCAATTGACCTCGTTTTTATCCGTTTTTGTGTGTAAACAAGAATGAAAGAAAACGCAGGACCGTAGCATGATTTCAAAATCATGCATGGTTTCAAGGTCTGCATGCATTTCATCGTGACCTTTTATATCAATTTTAAGCTTTATTAATTTTAAGCGGCTACATTATCCATGACAAACTGCAAAGAATGAAGATAGTACCGACAGTTTCCTGCAAACTTCCTAATTTTCGCCTCTCACTTCTCGGTAACGAAATCATTCCTGTAACAAGCGCCAAAGATCTCGGCGTAATCTTGGACTCTGGTATGACGTTCGACAGTCATGTACAAGCCACTATCTCCTCATGTATGTCTCGTTTAGGTCAAATAAACCGTGTGAAACATTGCTTTGACAAACACACATTAACAATTATTATTAACTCTCTAGTTTTTTCAAAATTATATTATTGCTCTACAGTCTGGAGCAACACTTCTCAAACAAATTTAAATAAGGTACAGGTAGTGCAGAACTTTGCATGTCGAATAGTTAGCGGAGTTGGCAAATACGATCATGTCACACCAATCCTGCAAGAACTAAAGTGGCTTCCTGTTCGACAGTATTTATATTTTTGTGATGCAGTCATGGCATTTAAATGCATGACAGGAAACGCACCTGCATACCTAACTGAACAGTTTGTGAGACGAGGTGACATTTCATCTCGCGTTACTAGGAACTCGAGCATGATTGAAACTCCTTTACACAGAACAGCAACCGGGCAACGATCTTTCAAATTCAGAATGGCCACAATTTGGAATTCGTTAAAACCAGAACTTAGGGCCTGCGAAACAACGAAAGACTTTAAACATATTTTAAAACAGAGACTTGTAGAAACATTTAAATTTAGGACCAATCTTAAGACATTTTGATGTAAATAGCATAT